TTTTTTTCATGGTATCTATTATTTATACGTCCTCCAAAACCGCCAGAAAATACAATGCGGGGGACCAATAAAAAATCTTAAATATTAAAAAATGGTTAAATAAACAATTGGATTTATTGTTGGAGGTCTCCCCATATAAAATACGAGGAAAATTTTGAGCGCTGTGAGCACTCCCTAAATATATTTTGATTTGTTCGATTCAGAACATTCCTAGGTGGTGGCGGCATTAAAATTCCGACTTTATTGTTTTTGTACCACTCTAATGTACATACATACAAAGAACTTTCGCGTTGCGTTCGCTTTCGCCTCGTTTTGACAGCAGGGCGAGTAATACCAGTGGTTATTACAATACACGATTGGCAGCGAATGCTTTGGCCACTAAATTAACATACAAACGGCAGATGAATGAATACATTATAAAACCGATATTTCTCGCTCGCATTCGATTAATAAGGAAAAAATATTTCAAATAAATTTAATTATTTGGAACAGCTGACCATCGACGCACGCAAAATATTGAGGGTAGGCCATTTTTCGGCTTTGTACTGGGCGTTAGCGTCGCCAAAATTTTGACTACATACGTGCACAGCTCCACAGTCAGCTGTCGAAGCGCGGCGAAAGCTAAATGTAGGGGTGCCTTAAGAGCAACGTGAACTGGAATAATTTCACAACAATAGCGAAATATCTACACACGTGCATATATATGTACATATGGATGTAGGTACATTTGTATGTGTAAATGCCTACATTCTAAAAGTATGTACTTATTCGAGCTCGATCGACTGTGTTTGTGGGTCGTGTAGGCGGCTCACGGGGCAAGACAGCCAGACATTTCAATATCAGTCAATTAGGCAGTCATTCGCCCATTCATTCATTTATTCATTCAGTCAGGCAGCTTGGCTGGCTGGCTTGTGAGTGCGAGGCCGCGTGAGCTTTAAAAGTGCTAACGAAGCAAATTTTAACAAAAAGAGCTTTTCACTTTTTTTTTTTATAAATAAAACACCAAAATAAAAGGCCAAATGCGAAATTCGGGAAAAAATAAAATCATATAAAACAAAGAAATTTAAATGATGGAACAAATAAAAATAAATTTAGAAAAAAATTTAATTACAAAAGTGAAAAATGAACAAAAAAGAATAAAAGATGAAACTTATAAACTCTAAAACCAATAAAAAAAAATTTAAAAGATTTAAAAACATAAAATAAAAAAAATAATAATAAAATAAATTATATTTAAATTAAATTAAATTATTGTCTTAGCATGTAAATCTTATAAGTAAATATACAACGAAAAACAAGACGGAAACGGAAGCGCTGATGCTGTGTAAGAAAATAAAAAAGTGCCTAAAAGTATTTAAGATCAATTTTAAATTCAAAGAATGAACTAGCTTTTGAAATGTGGCATTCGCATCGCTGGCCGGCAATGACGTCATCGGCAGCTGAATGTGAACACATGTTTCATACTGTTTGTTGTTTCGCACATTATGAGTATAATTTTTATGTAAACAAAAGATGTTGATCCTAACAATTGTGAAGCAAATGAATTCACAAAGAGCAAATTTTATGGGAAGAGAGAGTAGTCGTATGAATAAGTTTATTTATGAAAAATTTAATTGAATCAAATAATTCAAAAGTAAGGAATGAATATACATACATATAAAGGAGTGGAGAGTATAATAAGAAGAATTACCAAACAACATATGTATAATAAATAATGATCAAATACAGAAATTGTTAGAACAATGAAACAAATTAAATAAATACGAAATGGGTATTAATGAAATATTAGTTTAAAACGAAAAATAGTAAAACAGATAAATGAAAAATAAAGAAATAAAAAGTAGATTTAATCAACAAAAGTAAAACAAAAAATTAAATGTAAAGAAATGAAAAGATTTAAAAAATAATTCTGATGATTGAAAATAAAAGCAAAATATATATAAATAGATAAAAGATAAAAATTAAAATTATACATAACTAATAGAAAATAAATAAAAATTTTATTAATTAATAATACATATCAAATAAAAAATTAAAACCAAAGAATTAAAATTAAAAAATATAGAGATACATATTTGTATGACAAGCTCATTTTTAGTAAGCCTATCCGGTCTGGAAACTATATTGTATCAAGTTTAGCGCAACTCTAATAAATCTTTATTTTTTTGTTTTTGGTAATGCATATTAATGTTAGTTCCTACATAATTTGTAATATGATGACATTTGTACTATAAAAGATATAAAGCCTTATTGAACTAATGAATAATGAATGAATAAATGCAAATGAAATAAAAAATAAAAAAAAGGTGGAGAATAAACAAAAAGCACTTAAAAAAAACTAAAATCAAAGAAAACCAAAAATTAAAAATCAAGCAAAAAATATAAAACTTAGATAATTAAAAAATATGAAAGCTAAAATATAAGGAAAAATATATATCAAAAAGAAAAAAATATATAAAAACAAAAAAGAAAATATATAAAAATAAATAGGAAATGAAAAAATATCAAAAATAAATAAAAAATATAATAGTATAGAAATAAATAAAAATTAAATGGTAAAAGAAATAAATAAAAAATAAAATAGTGCAAAAGTAAATAAATTAAGTCAGTATAAAATTTAATAAGAAAAAATTATAAACGACGAAAATTAAAAATAAACGAAAAACTAAAAATATTAAAATAAAAAAAGTTAGAAACATAAAACGAAAAGGTAAAAAATATGAAATATTGATATTAAAAAAGTAAGCAAATATAAAATGCAAAAAAAATTAAAAGAATATAAGATGTAAAAAAAAAATAAAAACATCTAATTAAACAAAAAATAACAGGTTCAACAACAAGCTTTGGACGCGCTTGACTCGTTACCGGATCGATCCTGATCTAAGTTCATTTAAAAAATTTTCTAGCACCTCTGGAATTATTTGAAGCAAAAATCCGATTGCTTTCTTGTTGAAAGTACTGTATTTAGTACAAACGCACCTTTCAATACATGAAAACACTGTTAACAAAAATTCAAGAAGAAGAAAGCCTGAAATGAAAGAGTGGTTGTAGGTATGAATTAAGAGGCAACATCATCCGTAAAGTCACAAAACCAGCTCAAGAAGCCAGCTGCTAATATCATAAACGGGCGCTAATTTAATAACAAAAAATGTATAAAAAAAAACAAAAAAAAACCGTTGTGTCTGTATGCGTGTGCATAAATTGAAAATCGGCTGATCGTAAAGCAGCGATTAAGCTAGCTTAAAAAAATTAATGTATATGAATTAAGTACACACATACCTATATACACACTAATGCCCGCCAACGAAATAGATGAGCAAAGCGCAGCAGTAAAATGCTAATCGAATGTACAAATTTTGATAAGCCATAAATTTTTTTATAAGTTGGGTTTTTTTTTCAATGTTGTACAATTAACACAAACGAGTAATCGAATAAATTATACGAATGTAGCATACATACTCTAACATATGTACATACATACACACATATATGTATACTATATATATACAAATGCATTAATTTGATTTTTATTTATAAGAAGCATTCGCTCTCTCGATTTGGAAAAAGTGAACCAAATTTTGAATACTAATGTGTATGCACGGACCTACGGACATATGTACAGTCAGCGTCAAAAATATGCATACCGTAACGTTTGGACGACTTTATTTAGTTATATTTTCCGTACCAAATTTTTTTTATTTTTTTTTTTTATAAAAATATACATATGTAGATACAGTAATGGAAAAAATTTAAGAAATTTAAGAAAGAATTTTTATATTGGCCAGTTTTGGCTATATTTCTTTTGTTTACCAAAATCCCCCAAAAATTTCAAACTTTTTATTAAGTAATTTTAGAAAAAAATTCAAGTATGCAGTTTTATAGCCCATTTTTTAGGATAAAATGCAAGTTTCACCACGCTAGAAAAATTGGAAATTTCGATTAAAATTTCCTGCATTTTCTGGAGTTTTTTTTATTAAATTTAGAAAATTTATTCTTGTGTATTTTGCTGTTGATCGAACTATATTTTTATAAAAAAAAATAAGAAAAATTTGGTATGGAAAATATAAATAAATAAAATTGTCAAAACCTCATGATGTGCATATTTTTGACGCTGACTGTATGTATTTAGATATGTACCTCTATATGATGTTTTTTTCCAATTTTTTATATGCCTTTGTATGTCTGTGCGTAGTATAACAAAGACAAACACAATAGGTGCTAAACTATAAAAGAGTAAAACGAAAATTAAACTACCTAAAAGAAAATGCTAAAAATTTTAAGAAATAAAAAAGTGAGTTCAACATGCGTGACACACTTTTAGTAAATAGTTGGACTGGCATTTAGATGAAAAACGCATAAATTAAATAGAAAACACAAATTTGTTTTATTTTGTGGTTTTTTTTTTAGCTGAGAATGGGAAAGAAATCGAAAACTTAATTTTAAAAAGTGTAAACAAATTTAAGTAAACAAATTTTTATTAAAAAGCGCTTACAATTTTGTTCAGAAAAATTCTAAATAAACTAGAAAAAAGTTTAAACTTGTAGACAAGGTGCAGGAGTGTATTAAGAAAAAAATTACAATAATTTAAAATTCTAGGAAGTGCTTGAAAAACTACCAAAAATAAATCCAAATATTAAACTTCATTGAAAAAAAAAAATCTGAAGACCAGCAGAGAAACCGCATTAATTTCAACTTTTTTTTTTTGCGGAATTTCTCATCAAATTCTTCAATCAGCAAGACAGCAGCATTGTACCATAAGAGGATAAAAAGTTTCTTGTGGTTCACTTCAGTTTTGCACGCATTTTTGCGTGACTTCATTTCGAGCGTCCAGAACTTTCATGCTGTCGTTGGTGGCTGAAGAGAAGATTGCGTAAGAGAAGCCAAAGCGAGAGGCGATTAAAGAAAAGGCCGGCAGGCCTTCAAACCACGCGAAGACAGACCTTTTTGTTCGATCGTGCGGTGTGGCAGAAAAGGTAAAATATAAAACAAAACAATATTACATACGTAAATATGTACATAGGTGTAAATACGTACAGGTGTAGTCGGACTGGACTTGGTTGCTTTCAAAATTTACTTATTGTAAAATAAGGATGCGATTACTTTTCCACGCAGATATTGAATAAATTTTCATACAGAAATTAAATGTATGTACTTCAAATTTCTCATGAACCACTTTCGGCACGGTCCGACTTGGTATGTTTATACATACTACATGCATATGTACCTACATACATATGTACACATGTAACTACTACAGAACTTGTTCGCTAAATTGAATGAGTTATTGGACTTTTCATGAAAAATTATTTCAGAATATTTCTTTTCTCTACAAGGTTAAACTGACGATGCAAAACTTAAAAAGAAAACCGGTTAAAGCTCAATACATTGTAAAAAATAAATGTAAACAAAGCCCAAAAACTGTACAAAATTACTTTAATATACATACATCCCTGCATATTTCTTACCGTGAAGTCAATATAGCGTAAGCGAAAATAACTCAATAAGAATATAAGCGCAAACAATCAATTTTTATTTCCAATACGAATTCTATCGTTATTTTCTACAGCGTACTATCCTATCTTGAAAGCCCTTTTCTGTCTTTCGAAAGACTAATTGAAAGATTCGCTGACGAGGAGCGTCTCAGCGTTATTCTGTATATCTTTAAGCAATAAGTTTTCTAAAACTTAAATGAAATTTAAAAAAATTTCAATAGTGTTATACATATGTAGTTCATTTCCACCAAGCCTTAACTGCATTTTACGCCTAAAAGGTAATTGCTCATATTAAGTAGAGACAATCGGTAGCAAAAAAAAAAAACAAACAAAAAGTAAGAAATAAATTTTACTGATCACACAATGTTAACATTATTTGCACTTACTTGAACTCTCAACTGCAGTCAAGCTCTTGGTGGAAAGAGGCTATTACTGAGCCACGAATTTTTTTTTTAGGAAAAATGGAAGAAGTAACAAATTTAAGGCGTAGATATTATAGCTGCTATTTCGACTAAAAAAATATGTATATATTCCTTTTTAAAACAATAACAACTAGAAATTAAAAGAAAATTAAATAAAAAAAAAAAAAACAAAATCATAGGAAAAAATTAATAAATCAATAAACAAGTTTCTAACCTTAAGTTATATAAAAAATATGTTTTTTAACAATAAAATCTAAAACTTGAGATCAAATTAAATTAAATTAAATAAATAAAAATTCTTTCTAAAATAATATAATCTGAAACATAAAATAAAAAATAGAAAAAATTTAGCAAAAGGATAAATATAGATATATTTTTTAAATAATTAAATCTGAAAATTGAAATTGAGTCCTCGGGCTGCGGAATTTTTTTTAAATTTAATATTAGATATTTAGTTTTCTTTTAATCATTGGATTTTATTGTTTATATGTACATACGTATACATTTTTTTGATTCCTTTAGTTTTGTTTGTCTTTTTTTTAAGATTTGTTTTTTCTTTTTTGATTAAATTTTCTTCTAATTTTTAGATTTTATTATTTCAAATATATATTTCTTCGACTTGATTTGCTTCTAATTTTTAGTTTATGTAATTGTTTAAAAAAAATATATATTTTTTAATGTCCTATAATTTTTAGGGGTTTTTTTTATTTTTTGGTTTAGTTTAATTAAATTTTTTTTTTCTTCAATTTAATTTATAGATTTTATTATTCGAAAAAGAAAAATATGTTTTTAATGTCATTTAATTTCCAGAAATTTTTATTTTTAAAATGGTTTCTTTTTTAATTTAATTTTGTATATTTTTTTTTAATTTTCAGTTGTCATTAATTAAAAAAATATATTTATTTTTAAATTTAATTTTATTTTTATTTTTATTTATTGCTTAAAGACCAGCAAAATAACGCTGGACCTTCTCTTTAACAGATCTTTTGATTAGTCTTTCGTAAGAGAGAAAAGAGCTTTGAAGATACTATGTAGTTGCTAGAATTAACAATTGGCTTACAAAAGACTTTTGTCTTTCGAAAGACTGTGGTGAGTTGAAAGACAGTGGCCATAATTGCCACATAAGATTTCGCCAACCCAAAAACATATTTTCTCTGAAGTAGTTTTTTGTTTGCTCTTCTCTTATTTTCACTTTTAATTCTTATAAATATATATTTAGAACATTACTAATTGTATACGTGCCTTGTTTTGTTTAATATCATTGGCAGTTCCTCCCACATTCACACCTTTTGGTAAATTAAATTTTTGCAAAATATATAAAATCATTTTATATCCCCCTCCCGTTGAGGCATAAGCAGATAATTTACGTTCATACATACACCCTCATGTATATGTGCATATATATATATAGTATGCATATGTATGAAAGTATGTAGGTATCTGTTGCACTGATTACATTCTGCTTTGGTCTGAGGATTGGCTATTTTTAGCCAACTTACTTAGTTACGAGTATACATTTTCAATTGAATTTTCTTCCTCTTCCCTGCGCTTACTTGCCTATAATCGCTTTTGTGTTCCACTTATTTATTTATTTACCTCCTTTTTTGTGGGTGTGTATTGAATTAATTTTAGTTTTCTTTCTCTTTAGTATTTGGTTATTTTTAGATGCGCGTCATACGGTGGTGTGGTTCCGTGGCGAAGGATATGCATACATACATACATATTTCATGCATATAAAGGACGCACATTTTTACTAGTGGGCGTTAAACTAGTGGGTATAAATAATAGAGCAGTTTTCTCCTACATAAGGAAGAAAACTTTGTTTTTATTTTCGATTGCGGTTTCGTGAGAAAAAGGAGTAGTAAAGATAAAAAACAAATTACCGTTTAAC